GGGGTTAATGGGCCAGATCCCAGCTGGGGCCAATGGGCCGTCGCTCCATGGGAGTCAATGGGCCAGATCCCAGCTGGGGTAAATCAGCATAGCTCCAGTCACATCAGTGGTCTGTACTGCTTTACACTGTCGAGTTTAGTAAAGAGATGAAACGGGAACTGGGGCAGCACTGAAAGAAACAGTTTCTTATATTTGCTTCTTCATTTTCCATTCACCAATTCAAAGCTGTTAGTGCTTCCCTGCACCTCCAAAGCTAACCTACCCCCACCCACCAGCGCTGCTTTTGACTCCAAGAGCAGCTGAGAATTTAAAGGGACAGGGCAGAGTTTGGGTCCTAAACTTACTTTAAAACAAAAAAACCCTTATTTTCCTGATTTTGTTTTAAACGAGAATCATGATGGCAGTGGCAGTGCGTCCAGATCGATTGCTCTGTCTGTGGGGTTTGTAGAATGATGCCGCTCTTGCTAGGGCTTTGCAACGCCACTGCAGGGGTTTGCTAGGCCTGGAGAGCCAGAAAATGAAAACTGACTTCTACACAAACGTGAAACTGACCAGTCCATTTTTACTGGGCTGGGGGCTGTGTGTGCAGCGCCCTGCATGGTGGGGCCTGACCTTAGTGGGGCTTCTGGACACTACCGTAATACACCATATATAACACCACAGCATGAGAAAGAGGTTCCAAGACTAGGCCCTTGCTAAGGACCTGAGGCTCTAAATACAGCCAGGCCACAGCCTGTGGCCGGGGGTGGGTGGCAGCGTTTCCCTGGGCTGTGACAGATGAAAGGTGGGGTCTTTACACGTCTGTGAACATGGGCGATAGTATGGAACCCCCCGAGCTTTCCCATCTCCATGCTGCACCTCAGTTAGAACCGTGTCCGAGCTGGGCAGGCTGTTCTAGGCTGAACCAACAATCAAGAAAACCGCAGGATCGGGCGTGTGTCCCTGCTCCCCCCTCCACTTGCTCCCCTGCTGTAGCACAGGAGAGCGGACCTGGCAAGGGCTAGGCCCTGAGCCGAGTTTTGCAGTGTCTCAGTGGCATCTGAGCCTCCCACAATAACTAAACAAAATGAGCTCACACTTATTAAGAGGCCTAGTGGGTCGGGCATTTCCTCAGAGCTCAGGAGATCTGGGTTATGTTCATAGCTCTTCCACCGCCCTGCTGGGGACTCTAGACAAGTCATGGCACCCTCTATGCCTCAGTTTCCCCTCCCACGCTTGGTTTATTTACACTGTAGGCTCTTAGGGACAGGGCCTGTCTATTGGTGCGCAGGTCCATTGCCACTGACTGCTGCCGTGGCTGGTTCGAATCTGCTTGCTAAGCCATGGAACGGCAGAACAGGGAGGGCTAGGGCTAAGCTGGACTCGTTCTCTGGGGAGGACTGGGTGCAGAATTGCTCCTGCCCCCCTCCCTACAACACCCTCAGCTGGGACCGCCCCCAAGAGCCAGTGCTCCCGCCCTGCTCCTTACAGCACCATCAAGTGCGGGAGAGGCCAGGACTGAAGTAGCTGGGAGCTCCCCCCACATGCAGTGCTCTTGGCCCACTCCCTACAGCGCCCCCTGTAGACTGAAGTAGTGGGTGCGTCCCATTGGCAGCACTCCTGTGATGTTCCCTGTGGTGGTGTCAAGTGGGCAGCACGATATTTTGATTAAAAAACTAGAATATAAAATGCTCAGCGCCTTGGCACATAATGCTGTGATGGGGACGCGGAGCGGGGGCAAGGCTGTTTAGTCAAGTGCAGAAGGGACCATTGTGATCATCTAGTCTGACCCCCGTAGAGCACAGGCCAGAGACCTGCCCACAATAATTCCTAGCGCAGATCTGTTAGACAAACAGCCCATCTGTATTTACAGTTACATTTAGCCATATTAATACACGTCTTGTTTGCTAGCACCCAGCTCCCCAAGTGAGCGATCACTCTGGATCAGTGCCTGTCCTCGTCCTTATTTACCTCTCCCGCAACTTTCGTGTTTCTTCTGGCATGACTTTGTTTTCTTCCAGGTTATTGATAAAAATGCTAAATAGCATAGGGCCAAGAACCGATCTCTGCAAGGCCCCATTGGACACAGATTTGCTCAATGAGGAGTCCCTATTTACATTTTGAGACCTCTCAGTTAGCCAGATTTTAATCCATTTCCTGTGTGCCCTGTTCATTTTATATCCTTCTAGCTTTTTTAATCAAAATGTCATAAAGTACCAGGTCAAACACCTTACATGACATCAGCTCTATTACCTTTATCAACCAGACTTGTAATCTCATCCCAAGGCATATCAGCTTAGTTTGGCAGGATCTGTTTTCTGCAAACCCATGTTGATGGCATTGATTATTATTCATACTACCCTCCTTTAGTTCTTTATTAAGCGAGTCCCATATCAGCTGCTCTATCTTACCTGGGAACAATATCAGATTGACAGGCCTGTAATTACTCAGGTCATCTCGATGACACTTTTTGAATAATGGCACAACATTAGCTTTCTTCTAGTCTTCTGGAACTTCCCTGTTGTTCCAATACTTATTGAAAAGCAACATTAATGTTCTAATGAGCTCCTCAGCCAGCTCTTTTAAAACTCTTGGATGCAAGTTATTTGGACCTGCCGATTTAAAAATGTCGAACTTTAGTAGCTTCTGTTTAACATCATCCTATGATACTAGTGGAATAGAAAGAATTTTATCACACACTATAACTGCATCATCTGTTTTTTCAAAATACAGAAAAGAAATATTGATTGAACATTTCTGCATTTTCTGCATTATTATTGATAATTCTACCATTTCCGTCTAGTAATGAACCAATACCATAGTCAGGGTTTTTTTGTTTGTTTCTAATATACTTAAAAAACTCCATCTTATTGGCCTTAACTTTTGCTGGCCATAGAGTTAATAGAACATAACGGCCATACTGGGTCAGACCAATGGTCCATCTAGCCCAGTATCCTGTCTTCTGCCAGTGGCTGGTGCCAGATGCTTCAGAGGGAATGAACAGAACAGGGAAATTTTAAGTGATCCATCCTGTTGTTCAGTCCCAGCTTCTGGCAGTCAGAGGCTAGGAAGAAACACCCAGAGCATGGGGTTGCATCCCTGACCATCTTAGCTAATAGCCATTGATGGACCTATCCTCCATGAATTTATCTAGTTCTTTTTTTGAACCCACTTATACTTCCTTCACAACATCCCCTTCCTTACGTTTTTTTTTTTTTTAAACCTGCTGCCTGATAATTTCATTGGGTGACCCCTGGTTCTTATGTTATGTGAAGGAGTAAATAACGCTTCCTAATTCACTTTCTCCACACTGGTCATGATTTTATAGACCTCTATCATATCCCCACTTAGCCGTCTCTTTTCTAAGCTGAACAGTTCCAGTCTTTGTAATTTCCTCTGATATGGAAGCTGTTCCAGACCCCTAATCTTTTTTGTTGCCCTTCTCTGTACTTTTTCAAATTCAAATAGATCTTTTTTGAGATGAGGCAACCAGAACTGCACGTGGTATTCAAGGTGTGGGTGCACTATGGATGTCTTTCTGTGTCCCTTAGCTTCTCCTCAATTTTTGACACTGCCTAGCTTCTGATTTATAGGCATCTCCTTTCTTCCTTCCTTCCTTCTTTTTTTTTTTATTTAAATAGCTGCCTTCACTTCCCCCCTAACCCAGGTTGCTATTTTACCCAAGACAGCCTTCTTCCTTGACGGTGGGATTGTGGCTTTCTTGGCATCTAGTAAAGTGTTCTTAACCAGGTCCCAATGATCACTCATGTTTTACTGAGTACATTCTTCCTCCCAGCTGATTTGGCTCATCAGTCTTTTCAACCCTTTTAAAGCACCAAATGCATCTATCACTGGGCTGGCCTTTCTGCTGTTTGCGCAGTATAACCATGATTCAGAGAAAAGGAGGTGAAATCCTGCCTCTCTGAGCCCTGTCCCAGTTTGCTCAACCTCTGCCTTGGACAGGGAGAAGTTCCTCCCACACAGGTCTGAGCTGTAGGCAAGTCTAAATTAGGGTTTCCAGGCATCTGTTTTTTTACCACAACGCCCGCTCGAAAAGGGACCCTGGCGGCTCCGGTCAGCACTGGTACCTGCTTCTCGGGGGGGGGGGGGGGGGGGGGGTCGGTACCCCCTGCCCGGGGGGGGGGGGGGGGGGGGTGCTCAGTACGTGCGGAGCTGCCCTAGCTGGGGGTGCTCAGTGCCCGTTGCCCATGTCCAGGGGTTTGGGCCTAGGAGCATCCTGGAGGTGCCAGTCAGCCCTGACCCCTGCCTCCCTTCTGCAGTAACTCCCCTGTGCACGGGTCCTGCAGATAAATGTCCCCGTGGCCATGCCTGGCTCGAGGGGGGGCACGGATCAGGCCCCCTCCCCAGCTGGGCACCGAGGGGTGCAACCTTCCCAGAGCCAGGGAAAGGGGCCTCTGTCCCTTTAAATCCCAGCCCCCTCGCCCCCTCCCCCTCCTTGTTTATATCACGGTGCAGCCTAACTTACGCTCCCCTTGCCTGGGGCCCTCTCCCGCTGCCCATTGGCCGGAGCCCGTCAGCCGCACTCTCTGATTGGCCGGCCCGCCGCGGGCAGGCTAAGGTGCGCGGGTGGGGAGTCAGCTGACCCACTTGTCGCCATGGCGGGCGGCTGGGGGCTGCGCTGGGCCGTGGCCGCGCTGTGCCTGGGCTGCGCCGCGGGCCGGGAGGACGGGGCGGGGACTCCCCCGGCCAGCGAGGCCCCCCCCGAGCCCGGCCCCGCCCCCCCGCGGGTGCTGGGCTTCCGGCTGGAGGAGGGGGCCTGGGCCCGCGGGGGCCTGATCCGGGCCGCCCCGGGGGCCAACTTCCGCCTGCGCCTCTACGGCACCGGCCTCAGCAACCGCAGCTGGCCCTGGGTGGCCTTCGCGCCCGCGGGGGGGCCCTGCCCGGCCCCCTCCGCCCCCCCGCCCGCCGGCGCGCTGCAGGTGCTGCCCGACGCGCGCCCCCGGGGCGAGCACGCGGTGCTGGTGCGCGTGGCCGTGTCCCACGCCGGGCCCCGCGGCAGGTACCAGCTTTGCAGTCGCCTGGGTCCCGGGCAGCCCTGGGGCCCGGCCGCCCCGGGCGACGCAGTTCTCGTGGACGAGGACGAGGGCGGGGGCGGGCGCGCTGCGGCCGTGGCCCTGCCGCCCCCCTTGGCCCCCTGGCTGCTGGGCACGCTGGTGGCCCTGCTGCTGGCCCTGTCCTCCCTGCTGCGGGTCCTGCAGCTCAGCACCCTGTGGCTGGACCCCGTGGAGCTGTACGTGCTTCGGGACTGCGGCTCGGAGGCGGAGCGCAAGGCCTGCAAAGCCCTGGAGCTGGTGAGGCAGCGGGGCACCTTTGCCCTCTGCTCCCTGCTGCTGCTTAGCTCGCTGGCCAACGCCGCCCTGGCCGTGCTGTTCTACTGGGCCGTGCGCATGGTGGCACCTGCTGTCCTGGCCGTGGCCGGCTTGGTCTTCCTGCTGGCTGAGGTGCTGCCCTTCGCTGTCAGCTCGCGCTGGGGGCTGGCGCTGGCTCCCCGCGGGCTCTGGCTGACCCAGCTCTGTATGCTGCTCACCTTTCCCGTCTCGCTGCCGCTCAGCAAGCTGCTGGAGCTGGCCCTGCAGCATGATGCCAGCACCTGCCTCCTGCGGGAGAAGATCGTGGACATGGTGCGCAACAGTGACCCGTACAACGAGTTCGTGCGCGAGGAGTTCAGCAAGGGCGCCCTGCGCAACAAGACGGTGGAGGACGTGCTGACGCCGCTGGACAAGTGCTTCATGCTCAACGCCAATGCCGTGCTGGACTTCAAGAGCATGTCCATGATCATGCAGAGCGGCTACACCCGCATCCCCGTCTACGAGGAGGAGCGCACCAACCTGGTGGACATGCTCTATGTCAAGGACCTGGCTCTGGTGGACCCGGACGACTGTGTGCCGCTCAGCACCATCAGCAAGTTCTACAACCACCCCCTGCACTTTGTCTTCAACGACACCAAGCTGGACGCCGTCCTGGAGGAGTTTAAAAGAGGTAACCGCCCCTGGGTTGGGTGACCTGGGGTTTGTGCCCCGATGCTCTCCCCTTGCAGCCAGTGCTGACCCCAGTGCTCCAGCTCCATGCTAGGGTGTGCTGTGCTGCAGGGGGTGGGGTGACGGGGGCTCTGGACAGGGTGCTGTCCCCTTGGTGTTGGTGCTGACCCGATGCTCAGGTGCTGTGCAGGAACCAGGCTGAGGGTTCCATAGGAGGTGCAGTCCCCTCAGTCATTGGGGATATTGCACTGCCTGGAGTGGGTTGCTTAGGGGCGCTTTTCTCTCTGGGTCAGTGCTGCCCCCAGTGCCCCACCATGGCGGAGGGAGCCTGCTGCTAGAGACCCTGCACAGTCACTTGCCAAAGGTGCTGGGGCACTCCAGTGAGTTATCAGCCCCAGCACCCTGGCCAAACTTCAGCCTCCTGGCTTCAGCTGTACGCGGCAGTCTCCTGTCCCTGCCCTAGTGTGGTGGTAACGTACGCTACCACCTCCCGCCCCAGAGATCAGGTGGCATTTCACTTCTGAGTGCCACAATCATAGAATCATAGAATATCAGGGTTGGAAGGGCCCTCAGGAGGTCCTCTAGTCCAGCCCCCTGCTCAAAGCAGGACCAGTCCCCAACTAAATCATCCCAGCCAGGGCTTTGTCAAGCCGGGCCTTAAAAACCTCTAAGGAAGGAGATTCCACCACCTCCCTAGATAACCCATTCCAGTGCTTCACCACCCTCGTAGTGAAAAAGTTTTTCCTAATATCCAGCCTAAACCTCCCCCACTGCAACTTGAGACCATTGCTCCTTGTTCTGTCATCTGCCACCACTGAGAACAGCCGAGCTCCATCCTCTTTGGAACCCCCCTTCAGGTAGTTGAAAGCAGCTATCAAATCCCCCCATCGCTCTTCTCTTCTGCAGACTAAACAATCCCAGTTCCCTCAGCCTCTCCTCATAAGTCATGTGCTCTAGCCACCTAATCATTTTTGTTGCCCTCCGCTGGACTCTTTCCAATTTTTCTACATCCTTCTTGTAGTGTGGGACCCAAAACTGGACACAGTACTCCAGATGTCGAATAGAGGGGAATGATCACGTCCCTCGATCTGCTGGCAATGCCCCTACTTATACAGCCCAAAATGCCGTTAGCCTTCTTGACGACAAGGGCACACTGTCGACTCATATCCAGCTTCTCGTCCACTGTAATCCCCAGGTCCTTTTCTGCAGAACTGCTGCCTAGCCATTCGGTCCCTAGTCTGTAGCAGTGCATGGGATTTTTCCATCCTAAGTGCAGGACTCTGCACTTGTCCTTGTTGAACCTCATCAGGTTTCTTTTGGCCCAATCCTCTAACTTGTCTAGGTCCCTCTGTATACTATCCCTACCCTCCAGCGTATCTACCGCTCCTCCCAGTTTAGTGTCAGTTTAGTGCCCCCACAATCTGGGGGCATAACCTGTAGACTGGTTTGTACCGTGCGGTATGCAAATCTCCCGTGTAGAGTGGAGTGTTTTATGGTCCGAGACCTCACTAAGCAAGAGTCATAAACAGATGCTGTGTAGGTGGGGAGCCCAGTTGTTCAGTACCGGGCAGCTCACAGGATGCTGGACTCCTAGGTCACTTTCTGTGGAGTTTCTTCCACCCAACCTGATTCTAGCAGAAATGTTTTCGAGACGCCTGCACCGTAGGCCCTCGGAAAGGTTGGAAGTGGGCTATAAGCACAAATCTCTAACTCGTGAGCTGAAATCTGCTGCTGAAACTGTATGCAGATTGAGGTGAGGCGTGCACTGGTAATCGGACTGCTGTGATTTGTAAGTTTCTATTTCTCAAGGCCCCATGGTCTGCAGGGGCTGGACGCATGACTCTGATCTGGCTAGAACAAATGCTTACAGGGCTTGAAACTTCCCCAAGCACTGGGCCAGCAATCAGAATACAGGGGCCTCAGGATGCTGTGACTGCTACTGTGTTCAAAGTAATGGCTAAGGAGAGGTGCCTTCTGAATGAGGGTCTGGGAACAGTGCTGACGGGCCCCACCGTCCCGGTGCTGGGTCAGGTTCATCGCCGAGGGAGGGGACAGAGGGGTTGCGATGTCCCAGTGGCCATGCAGCATAGACCTCAGTTGCTTGTACCTCGTGACCCTGAGTTTAGTCCACTAGACCATGCTAGAGTGCTTGGTCCCCTGGCTAGTTCTGAGCTGGCCCCTCTGTGCTGCTGAGATGCTGCCTAAGGTTGCAGCGCTGATTCCATTAGCCAGCCAGCAGGAGGCGCTCTTGGGGCAGAGGAGAGCATGGTGCCAGGCGTGCATGCTGATGCCCCATGAGTAACACTGCCTCCTGCAGAATGCTGGTGCCTACCATCAGCTTCCCATGGGGAGTAAACCTGTGTATCCTACCCAGGGCCCACGGTCAGCAGAGTGCCGGGGTTGCAGTGGCTGGCTGAGCTTTCCTGTGCCAAGGAGCCCTGAGACACCGGGCCCAGCTGATGCTCTGGGGCACGTTTCTGCTGACTGCTCTGGCACAAGAGCGTCCGAAAGCACCTTTCGCTGAAGGCAGCTGGCACTCCCTTCCTCGTAGATCCCTGCAGATAGCCACGTGCCCCGGGCAAGCAGTGTCTGCGTGAGCCGAATCATTCCTGGGCAGCCAAGGAAAACACCCTTAACCTGGCCTCCCCCAGCTCTGGGGCTTGGCTGGCCTCTGACTGCTGGGAGTTAAGGTGCAACCATCATGGGGGCAGCTCATTCCTCATCTACTGCTGCGGGGTTTTCTGCACCACCCTCGGAAGCAGCTGGTGCTGGCCCCTGCTGGAGATGGGACACTGGGCTACACGGGCCTGGGCTGTGCTCCAGTGACGCTTTCTCATCTCCTCCCCATGGTAACAAAGCTCTGGGAGGTACCTCTGCGTGCAGGATCTCCAGCTATGCCACACGCCTTGCGCCAGGGCTGCTGGACCATCGCTGGGAGCTCCTGGGGGCTGCTGAGCAGGTCACAGTCCCCACCCTTGTGGAAGTTCTGCCCGAGTGATCCCCGCCACCCCCCATCAGCCGGACCCCCTCGGAGCCCACGCTCAGACAGGAGGGAATTGCAGAAGTTCCTCTGGTACCTGTGGGTGCCTCATGGTCTAGGAGCCTCCACGGGGCCAGCGTCCGTCCCGCCAGCCCCACATTGTATGCTGTTAGGACTGGCCTTCCCCCCCCAATCCCCCTGCTGCAGGGGGAGGGTGGGCTGGGCTGTGCAGCAGAGCGGATAGCACCAAAGGGAAGTGACTGGCTGAGACCCTCGCTAGGTGATGGACGCTCGCCTTGCGTTGTCGGACTAGCGGAGCCCCAATACACCGATGGGGTGAGCAGGAGTTAACTCTTTCAGTGCTGCTGGGCAGCCAGCTTCCCGTGTTCCCTGGGAGATGACTAGGGATGGCCATGCTCCAGGTGCAGGCGTGTGCATTGGAGCCAGAGCACCGACTGATTGCAGCCCCCAGTCTCTGGCTGCTCCCAGCTGCGTCGTGCAGTGCAGGGCATTGACAGCGACGACCCTGGGCTGGCTCCTCACGGAGTTCTGGCTGATGCCACGTTTGGCTTGCCACAGCGGACTGAGCGCACTACCCTGTCCCTGGAGGGGAGTTTGCTCAAAGCCGGGCACAGAGGCTAGAGTTCGGCAGGATTTCCCAGGTATTGTGACTTTTCTAATGCCGAGCCAGAGCCCTGCCCCTCTGTGCGGTGATCCCTCTCTCCTGCCCTCTCCCTGCTTGGCACTTCCTGGCGTGTGTCTTTGGAGCAGCTGGAGGCGGGTCCCTCTCGGGGAGACAGGCCAGAGTGCTGCTCTGAAAACTGACTTGCAAAGGGAAATCAGTGGTGCTTGGGCCTCATGCATGCAGCTGTCATGTTCTTTGTTATATTGCTCGGGGTTTTTTGCCCTTGGGAACATCAGATAGTCCCGGTTTTGTTTCTCTTGGCCTCCTGGGAGCACGCTCAGCCCTTAGCTGAAGGATTGTTAAAGATTTAACAGAGAGAGCTTTGCTCCCAAGTGGTTTGTGGGTGTCGGAGCTGCATGTGGTTAGCAAAAACTAACCAAACCCCACAGCGTTTTAAACAGCCTGATTGCACACCCTGCCCCTAGTGGTGCTCTCCTTGCCCGGCCGCAGAGCCTGGTGGACAACAACCAGCAGAAAAGCCCTTTTGTGCTGACCTCCCCCAAGGTAGTGCCGATTTCAGTACAGTCAGGAAAAGCCCTCCCTCCCCGTGGGTCCTGAGGAAGGTCACCTTCAAAGGCAGCCTCTTCCCTCCCGCAGGGTGGGGGTAGGCCGTGCGTCCCCGGGCCTGCTGGGCTCCAGGGCATGGGCAGGCAGAGCTGGCTTTGGTCTCTGCGGGGAGACGAGCCAGGTCCCACTGCTGCCATGGAAACATCTGGCAGGGCCAACTCGATGCCTGCGTGACCTCAGCGTCACTGCAGGGATCTGGCCGCTCCGTCGCGGTGCAGAACAGCTGAGCGCGTGTCGCTTGCTCCGGGCTCAGCACTCTCTGGGGCCCTTGGAGCAGGCTGCTTCACTCCTGGCTGGAGGCAGGGGATTTGGGGGGATCTGTGGGTCTGGTGTCGAGCCCAAAGCTCCCCCCAACTCCTGCCCCAGCCGTATGGGGATGAGCCTCTCTGTCTGAATGCTGGGTAGCTCTCACATGTCAAAGCCAGCACTGGACCGGGGGCCTCCAGCCGGCTCCTGGGCCCCCCCAGCTAAACAGAGGGCGGGGCAGGGAGACCTTGCGCTAATGTCAGGGGCAGGGCGGTGGGTGGCTGGCCTGGTTAAGGCACTGGACTGGGCTGTAGGAGGCCTGAATTCAAGCCAGGTTCTGCTACTGACCCCCTGTGACCCTGGGCAAGTTCCTTCATTTCCCGGGGCCTGTAAAAGAGAGAACTCTGTTGTCTCTCGTGGGGCGGGCCTGGCTGGAGCAGGGTCTGTGCAGTGCCTGGCACACGGGGGCCCTTGTGGACTGCTGGGATCCAAGTGCAAAGCAGACCAGCTCTGCTTGGCCCCTCACCTCCATCAGAACCAGCTCATTGTTGTGCCCCCAGCTTGCGTCATGTCCGGGTCTCAGGACGTGCGAGCTCTGAAGTAGCCGCCCACTCACAGCGTCCGTGCGGCGTTCATCCAGGGCCGGTCCCTGCGAAGCCTTCCCAGGTGGCCTCCCCAGCAAACGTGCATGGCCAGATCCCTGGGAACAGCTAGCCAAGGGCCTACAGATCGGACACAAGGCTGCAGCGGTCAGAGCCGCTCACCTGAGCCCTGGAGGTGCTGGCAGGGAAGAGAACATCCTGTTTGTTTGCTGAGCTCAGACAGCCCGAGTTGAAACCCAGTGTGCACAAGAACAGCTCAAGGAGACGCCAGTGCAGAGCATGATCTGGGCCCCGCGTGTGCCCGTGCAGCGGGGACACAGATCAGTGCAGGGAACGTCCTGCAGGGACACCTGTGACGCAGGCTTCGGCTGAGACACACCCCCGTGGGCAGGGCTGGGGGCGATGCCAGGCCTGGTGTGCCCAGCGGCCCACTCTTTTGCTGTAGCACCTCCCTGGGGGAGGGCGTCTGGGCGGCTTCTCCTGCCATGCCGCTTCCAGCGTGCCACTCCCCTTCCCCCATCCTCAGGTATGTCCTGGCTGGCTGGCAGCAGGTGTGAACCAAAAGTGCTCCTGTGCCCAATCCCGACTGATTTCTGCTGATTCCAGAGCACGCGCTGTCACGGAGTCCCTGGGCAATGCTCTGGAACTGCTCCCCACAAAGCCAGTCAGGACTTTGGGGAGCCTCCTCTCCCTTGGAGCAGACTGTCTTCAGGGCAAGAAGCTCACACGGCTTCACCTTCCTGGGTCTCTCCTTGGAGCTTTCAGCATATGCCCCTCCGTGCGCTTCCCACAGCAAGTCCACCCAGGCGGGGTCCTGGGGAAGCCAGAGGGTCCTGCACCCCCACTTCACAGCCAGACGTGACTCTTAGCCAGCCAGTAAAACAGAGGTTTATTAGATGACAGGAACACGGTCTAAAGCAGAGCTTGTAGGTACAGAGAACGGGACCCCTCAGCCGGGTCCATTCTGGGGCCCAGCGAGCCAGACAACCCCGTCTGCCCTCACTCGTAGTCCCCAGCCAGCTCCAAACTTAAACCCCCTCCAGCCCCTCCTTTCTGGCCTTTGTCTCTTTCTCCAGCCAGGAGGTCACCTGATCTCTTTGTTCACCTTTAGCTATTCCCTTGCAGGGGCGAAGGGCCGTGGCCATTTGTTGCCAGGATACAGCGTGTCGGCCATTTATGCATACTGGAGACTTAAGAAATGCATAGGGGAAACTGAGGCACACACACAGTATTCAGATGAAACATTAAGAACAGTCCCACTTTGTCACACGGGCAGTCAGCACTCCTGGGTTCTGTTGTTAGCTCTGGGAGGGAAGTGGGGCTGGGGGCTGGCAGTCAGGACTCCTGGCTTCTATTCCCAGCTCTGCTACTGACTTACGTCGTGACGTTGGTCAAGTCACTTCCCCCCTTCTCTGCCTCTGTTCCCCTTCCGTAGAGTGTGGGCGACAATAGGGATGCATGTCACTAAGTGCTCTGAGCGCCTTAGAAGTGTGATAGGAGCTCAGAGCATTTCTGTTGCGCCATTGTACTGCAATAAAACCAGCCCTCCCAGACCGGAGACGTGGGATTGGCAGCAAGAGACCAACTGACCTCGGCCTACCTGCTGAGCGCGCTCTGGCCAGCGCCTGACTCTGCTGCATGTGGAGCCTGCATGGTGTCACCAGCCTGAAGCAGCTGTGATGCCCAGGGGACACTGCGGCGATGCCTTTGGGGAAGTAGGGTCCAGATAACTTGCATCCAAGAGTTTGAAAAGAGCTGGCGTAGGAGCTCCCTGGACCTTTAAAATTGATTTTCATTAACTCTTGGAGCACTAGGGAAGTTCTAGAAGGCTTGAGGAAAGCGAATGTTGTGCCAGTATTTAAATAGGGTAAACTGGATGACCGAGGCGATCACGGGCCTGTCCGTCCGACACCGATCCTGCGCAAGGTAATGGAGTGGCTGATCCAAGACTCGATTAATAAAGAATTAAAGGAGGGTGATGTAATTAAGGCCAATTAACATGGGCTTATGGAAAATCCATCCTGTCAAACTAACCTGATAGCCTTTTGGATGAGATGACAAGGTTGGTTGATAAAGGTAACAGTGCTTCTGTCGGGCATTTGAATTAGTACAGCACAGCATTGCTGATTAAAAACTGGAAGGACATATAGTTAACCTGGCACATGTTAAATGAATTAAAAGCTGATAGGTCTCAAAATGAGAGAGACACAGTGGATGAGGTAATCTCTTTCACTGGACCCACTTCTGTGGGTGAGAGAGGAGCTTCCAGCTCCACAGAGCTCTTCAGGGCTTGGAAAGGGCCTCGGTGTCCCAGCTACACACCAGGTGGAAGGGGTTGTTATGTGTAATGAGTTACACCTGTCATGTTGGAAGAGACGTTCAAGGTGAAGTGGGCAGTTAACAGCTCTGCAGTCATGGGACAGCGGAGGGCTAGTGGGTTACAGATTGTTGGAATGAGACAGAAACCTAGGATCTCCGCTGAGTCCATGGTTTCTAGTGTCTAGCAAAGTTAGGAATTTACGGTCCCTGGCTTGTCTTTTGAAGGTGTTGTGCAGGTTTCCTTTGAAGATGGGGGAATAGCTCAGTGGTTTGAGCATTGGCCTGCTAAACCCAGCATTGTGAGTTCACTCCTTGAGGGGGTCATTTAGGGATCTAGGGGCAAAAATCTGTCTGGGGATTGGTCCTGCTTTGTGCAGGGGGTTGGACTAGATACCTCCTGAGGTCCCTTCCAACCCTGCTATTCTATGATTCTAAGACAAGGACCTGACAGGTGGGATGCAGGCTGATCGCTTTGTGAAGTGTGTTCACCCACAGGTGCTGGGGTGTTTTTGTCTTTTACCATGTTCCTGGGTGAGCTCATTGGAGAGCGCAGTGATTGTCTGGTTTCACCCACACAGTTGTTGGGGCATTTACTGCACTGGCAGAGGTACCCACATGCTGTGACAGGTCTGCGTAGGACCCATGGATCTTGACTGGTGTGTTTTGGGGGGTGTTGATCATTGTAGCAGTGGAGATGTGTCTGCAGGTTTTGCATTGGTTGTTCTGACAGGCTCTGGTGCCGCTTTGAGTTGGTGGGTCCTGGTCTGTGGGGAGCTTATTTCTGATGATGAGCTTGACAAGACTGGGGGTTGTTTGAAGGCCAGAAGAGGAGGGTTTGGGAAAGATTTATTTCAGGATGAGGTCCCTGTTGAGTATGGGTTGTAATTGTTCGATGATACCCCATGGGGGTTCCAATGTGGGGTGGTAGGTGACATCTAGGGGGGTGCGGTCAGTGGGGCTCTCAGTGTAACTGTAAACAGGAAAGCCTTATTGGATGGGTGTGTTTGTAGAGGGGGCCCGCAGGGATCGGTTCTTGACCCTGTGCTATTTAATATTTGTATCAGTGACCTGGGAGAAAACATAAAATCATCCCTGATCAAGTTCGCAGATGACCCAAAATTGGGAGAGTGGTAAATAGTGAAGAGGACGAGTCACTGATCGAGAGAGACCTGGTTTGCATGGTAAACTGGGCGCGCAAACAGAGTGTGTTTGAATACAGCTGGGAGCAATGACCGCAGGCTGGGTTTTCAGGATGGGGGACTCTCTTGGGGAAAAGTGACTCTGGAAAAGATATGGGGGGTTAATTAGCTAAACACGAGCAGCCTGTGCGACACGGTGGCCAAAGCGCTAATGCGATCCTGGGATGTGTAAACGGGAATCTCCAGCAGAGAGGGGATTTTCCCTCTGTATCTGGCCCTGGTGTGACCACTGCTGGGACCCTCTGTCCAGTTCAGGAGGGGTGTTGATAAATTGGAGAGGAGGGCAGAGAAGAGCCACGAGAATGATTAAAAAATGAGAAAACCTGCCTGAGAGTGAGAGACTCAAGGATCTTAATTGATTTAGTTTAACAAAGAGACTTGATCCCAGCCTGTCAGTACCTACGTGGGGAACAAAGATTTCATACCGGGCTCTGCAGTCTGGCAGAGGAAGGTCTCACACGATCCAATGGCTGGAAGTTGAAGCTCGACAAATCCTGACTGGAAAGAAGGTCCCCATTTGTAACAGGGAGTGTCATTAGCCAGTGGAACAATTCACCCTGGACCGTGACGGATTCTCCATCCCTGACCATTTTCAAATCAAGCCTCTAAACGCTCACTTCTAGGACTTATCGTGGGGCAGTTCTCTGGCTGGGGCTGTGCAGAAGACCAGCCGGTTCAGTGATGGGGGCAGTATACGTAGTTGTGTGACACCTCTGAAGGCAACATACACAACCCAAAAGGTGTCCTCCATGTGATGACCTCGCCCATACGGTGCACACAAACTCGCCCTGCATGGAGGGTGCCGTTTGGTATTGCAAAATGGTGCGCAGCCAGACAGAATGGTCCTGAGGGCCGGATCTGGCCCGCAGGTTGCCAGTTGGACCCCCGCATCCCTTCTGTTGGAATCTGTGAGTCCCGTAGTCGGAGAATGGGAAGGAAACAGGGCTGGGTACCAGCCACCTGAGGGCTCCCAAAACCCCAAGAACAAGTATCCCAAGCAGCCCTCTCCGCTCCCCGGAGCGTACTGTGGTGCCTGGCCTGTGCACAGCCGGGCGAGGGAAGGCCCTGCTTCGAACGAGACCCCTGAGGTAAATCTCTCCCTTGACCGTCTTTGCTGCTGCTGGAGTGGGGGGACAGAGAGTGCTGGGGGGCAGGAGAAGGGGGATACTGCCTAGCCCCTTGCTCTGCCCCCTTCCCCACCTTCCTCTCTGCTGCTCTGTAGTTATTTTTAAAAAGCTGCATCAGGGCTGTGAGGCAGAGTTCTCTAGTGGTCAGAGCAACTCCTGGGTTCTCTTCCTGACTTGCTGGGTAGCCTTGAACCTCTGTGTCCTCTCCCCCCCCCCCCCCCCCCCCCGAGGCCTCCCTGGTGCCTGTAGCAAGCTGTGTCACCCGCCCCCCAGGCAAATCACACCTGGCCATTGTGCAGAAGGTGAACAACGAGGGAGAGGGCGATCCCTTCTACGAGGCCATGGGGCTGGTGACGCTGGAGGACGTCATCGAGGAGATCATCAGGTCGGAGATCCTGGACGAGTCGGACGACTACAGTGAGTGAGCCCCGCCCGGCGCGCCCCGCGGCTTTGCTCGGTCTAGGGGGCCAGCAGAGCCCCCGGGGACAGCTGTGGCAGGCGGGCAGCGCTGCGGGTGCATTGTTCTGTGCAGGCAGCTCCGTGCCCGTCTCCCCCAGCCCCTTCCCTCCCCACCCAAGCCAGGCTGGAAGCAGCATGCGAATTCCCCCAGGACCGCTCCCAAGCTCTTCCTCAGGAGGGCAGTTTTGTCCGGGGCTGGAATCCTGGGTCACCCGAGGTCCGGTCCCAGCTATGGGAAAGGCGTGGGCTCTAGCATTTAGTGGGAGCACTGGCCAGTGCTGTATTCCCAGTTCTGTCGCTGTTTCCTGCGTGACTTGAAGCAAGTCCCTGCCCTGCTCTGCGCCTCGGTTTCCCTGTGTACGGTGGGGGGTGCTGAGGTCCCTTTGCACTGTGCTTTGGGATCGCCAGCCTGCAGCTGCTCTGGGGGTGACTCTCTGGCCCCAGAGCCCGGGGACCAGGTTTATGCTGCCGGCTGATGTGACTCTGGCTCCGCCTGGCCTGTCCCCTTCTCTCGTGCCCTAGAGGAGAACAAGGTGCGGAAGAGGCCGGCCCCCATGGGCACCCTGCTGGAGCACAGGAAGGAAGATTTCTCCTTGTTCAAGGGCTCTGACAACGAGCACAAGGTGAAGATCTCCCCGCAGCTCTTGCTGGCCACGCAGCGCTTCCTATCCCGAGGTGAGTCGGGGCAGGGAGCCAGCTGCCAGCCGCCCAGCCCTCCCTATGCCACCCGCCTGGCTCCACAGCCAGCGAGCCCAGCTGATCACTGGGCTCCCCCTGCCTGTGGGACAGCCCTGGCTTACCTCCCCTGCAGACCGGTCAGTCTAAGCCTGTTACACACAGTGCAGTCAGTCCCCTGGGCTCGGGGCAGGGGGAGCAGCTGGGGAGCACCCCCCAAGCTCCCTGCAGCGCCCCGTCCCTGGAGCCAGCGGCTCAGGCTGGGTTCTCTGCCCCTCACTCCCCACCAGAGGTGGATCTGTTCAGCCCGGCCCGCATCTCCGAGAAGGTCCTGCTGCACCTGCTGAAGCACCCCAGCGTCAACCAGGAAGTGAAGTTCAATGAGAGTGACCGCCTGGCGCCCGAGCACTACCTGTACCAGCGCAACCAGCCCGTCAACTACTTCGTCCTGGTCCTGCAGGTACTGGCCTGCCCCGATTTCTCCCCCGCCACCTCTTCCCCCCTCCCCCCCCCGAGATCCGCTAGGCCTGGTGCGGGAGAGGAGGCAGCCAGCTGGCAGGGCACTGGGCTGGATTCTGTCCCTGGCTGTGCTCTGCGGAGTGACCTCAGGCACGTCCCTGTCCTCCTCTGCGCCTCTTCCCCTCCCGCATGATCTGAGCTCTGCATTTTCACCGGACCGGGCAGCACCCTGCACAACAGGGCCCATGTCTGGCTGCTCTGCTGCATGCCTAGAGAGCGGGGAGCCAGGCTGCGGGTTGGATCTTGGGAGGCAGGCTGAGGGGCGGGGCCAGCTCGGCAGCAGGTATTGGCAGAGAGCCAGGAGGGCACCTGGCCTGGCTGCCCTCCCTGTGACCAGCGAATGCAGCAGCGGGGGGGGAGTCTCTGCCCGCTGGGCTGGGGGAGGAGCCTTGCCGAGCAGCAGGCCAGCTGCTGACCGTGACCCGTGGCCCTCTCCTCCGCAGGGCAGGGTGGAAGTGGAGATCGGGAAGGAGGGGCTGAAATTCGAGAATGGAGCGTTCACGTACTACGGTGTCTCGGCGCTGATGGCGCCCTCCTCAGGTGAGCACCTGCGTCCTGCCACGGGCAGCAGGGCCTGGCCATGGGTGTGAACCGCCCCTGGGAGCCCGTTGCTGTGGGGAGTCCAGGCCCCGAGTTCTGCACGGCTCCTGGCCTGGCTGGGGGGTCCCAGGCTGGCCCTCGCTGGCTGGCTGGGAGCAGGAGGGGGGATGAGCCTGGCTGTGCGCCCATAGGCCATGAGCGGGGAGACCTGGAGACCAGGGTCCTTCCCAATTAGCAGTTGGGGTGTTGGGCTCTCAGCTGGCCTCTGATTTCTGCCTCCCAACAGTTCACCAATCGCCAGTGTCCACCCTGCGGCCGAACCGGCGTGAGCAACCGCTAGACTGCAGCGAGGGCACCTCCTATTCCACGTACTGCCCCGACTACACCGTCCGGGCGCTCACCGACCTGCAGTTCATCAAGGTACAACAACTCCACAGCTTCAGCTGGGCTGGGAGCAGCCAGACCTAACCCCATGTTTTTATGGGCCCTACAGACTCGTCCCACTGTGCTCTCGCTGCTGGGCTTGGAGGGGCAAGGGGCTGCGCAGTGTGAATGGGGGGCAGCCCCACCCTGCCCTCGGGAAGGAGCAGCCAGCCGGGCAGCGGGGAGGGACTGCTACTTCCTCCTAGGGTTCCAGCGCTGGCTCTCTCCTGGGACCAGCTGGGTTCAGATTCAGAGCATGCCACAAGTGAAACGACTCTGCTGGTGCTCAGCAGTTCCCTGGGCCTCTGGCCATGTCCCCTGTGCCCGAAGGAGAGCCAGGCCCTGAGGTGTCCCTGGTGGCACTGCGCTTTGGGGCAGCCTCTGCCCCCTTGTGATTGTGCTCTGCTGCCACCTCCCTGGCTGGGAGACCCCACCTCTGGGGACACCTGGGAGTGCTTTGCCCTATCCCTGCTCTGGTCCCCTTTTCTCAGGGATCACACGCCCCTCTGGGTCTCACTCGCTTTCCCATGCAGCCGCTGCGCCCGTCCAGCCTGGCCTTGGGTGGGCACCATCCCTGGGGCTGGAACCCGGGCCCCTGCCAGGAAAAGGGAGTGCTCAGGGCTCTGGCTCGCCTCTCCCCAGGTGACCCGGCTGCAGTACCTCAACGCCCTCATGGCCTCCAGGATACAGCCGTCCCCCCAGTCGCCCGACAGCCTGGAGCTGAAGATCGTCCCCAACAGCCAGACGAAGCTCCTGGACGACAGGAACGCTGTGCCAGGTGCTGGGGGCACAGGGGGCACTGTGCGAACATGCTTCCCGAGGCTGCCATGTGCCACTGGGGGTCCACATAGCTGGCGTTCACTGGAGCGGCCCAAAGCACAGCACCCTGGGGGCTGCTCGAGTGGGCACACTCCAGGCCTCGATGTGCCCAGCGCGGACGGGCTGGGCAGGCTGTGGCCAGCTCCAGGGCTCCCAGAGCCCATCCTGGCTGCTGCGTGAGGACTCGCTGGGATCTGAGCCCAGCTGGCTGGCTCCCCAGGGCTGGGGGCTGCCTGCACCCACCCCTCCATGCTCTCCCTGCTTGCTGTCCCCTGCTGCTGCATGCGCACATCTGTCTTTAACCCCTTCGCTGCTGTCCAGTGGCTGCGCCTGGCGTCTCGGCCAGCTTTTCTCTCACACACTGACCGGCTGCGTGTCTCTGTGTTAGAAGACAAGGAGGCCTGTAAGCTGGGCCCCTCCCCTAGCTACGAACCCTCATGCTGCAGGGCGTGACGGAAGGGGTCAGGAAGGAACTTCCCCAGGGCAGGTGACTCCAGAATTGCCCGCAGGGGGATTCTTGCACCTGCCTGTGAAGCAGCTGGTACCAGCCCCCACCAGAGCACTGGCTGGACCCAGGCCTGGTCTAGGCTGGCTGGGCTCATTCTCTGACCCAGCTGGAAGGCAGCACGCTGAGGGAGATGGAAGGTCTGTAGGGCTGAGGATGGGGCTGTCTGGAGTCAGTGCCCATCTCCAGCGTCCCCTGGAATGGCCCAATGTTGCCCAGCCTCATCTCGCCTCTCCCTGTCCAGCACCCCTGCAGTGACCTGGGGACCCCGGCCTCTCCCAGCCCCCTCAGCAGGCGTTCCCCATCTCTGCTGTTCTCCACAGTAAGCAGCTGAGGGTTGCTTGGCAGCCGCTGGGAGCATGCGCTGGCGGGCACCCCCCCAGCCAGGCCGATCACCCCGCCTGCTTGTCACGTGTATTTCACTCTCTTCCCTCGTTTTCAGCAGCTGAGTGTCTCTCTCGCGCGCTCTGTCCGGCCACGCACTCTCTCTTGGGCACAGCTGAGCTCTGCAGTTGATAGCGGGTTCTGCGGGATCCATGGGGTTTACTGATGGGCAGGAGGTAAATATCTGAGCCTTCGTCCACTTGGTACAGCAGGATTCTCAGGGTCTGCGCTCCCTGCTCTGCCCAAGGTGCTCAGTGGGGGGGGGGGGGTTTGATCTGCTCTGGGAGCTGTGACCGGTGCAGGGGCCTGGCTGTCTCCATCCTAGTCCTTCTGGGTGCCCCCCACCCCCCGTAGCCATGTCTCTTCCCCAAGGCCTTTAGGGAGGCTCTGAAACCCAGTGCCACCATCACAAGTCACTGGCTGCAGCTCCAGGCTGCTGGGCTCCAGGCCTGCCCGACAGTCACTGTCTCATTTCTGGAGCTCTTGGTCCCCGTGTGCGGCAGGACGGGGGTAGGGCGGAGCTTGGTGCTGCCTTCTCTCAGGAGAGGGGCCGTGGGAGTCTGCCGGTACCACCTCAGCGGGTGGTTGGGAAGAATGGCCACGGGCAACCATGTGGAGCAGGTCCAAGGGAGACCAGAGCAGGCTTGGCCTCCCTGGTAAGGAGCCAGACTAGCCTCTGTCGCTGCCGGATGCTCATGCACCGTCCCAGTGGCGCCCCCTGCAGCCGGGGTGCCGAGCAGTTCCCCCAGGCAGTGGGAGGGGCCTTCCCTTTGGCTCAGCCAGTGAGCCACAGCCCCCAGCTCAGGGCTTGTTTCCTGCTCGGGCTGGTGAACGGGACCCCGTCACTGGGTGATGGGTCAGTGTCCAGAGGGTAATTAGCCCAGGTCACGGCACTGCAGCTCTGCAGCAGAGCCCGAGCTCCGGCCCTGGGTGGCCAGAGGTGCCGGTGTGATGGGGGCAGGGGGTTGGGCTGGAGCATCTCCCTGGTTCCACTGACTGCTGGCGGGAGCTCCTGGGCCCAGCCTTGCAGCAGGCAGCGTGGCCTGCTGGGCTGAGACCTGGATCTAGCCCCAGCTCTGCCACTGGCCTGGGGGTGACCTTAGGCAAGTCCTTGCCCTTCCCCCTGCCTCAGTTTCTCCATCTGTGCAAGTGCCTTTGGGATCTGTGGGTCCTAGAGATGGAAAACGCTGGCTGGGCCATGGCAAGGTTGTGCCCTGGGGCACCATCCTTGGAAGCCCCCCACCCACCTCCTGGGGCCGAATGGGCGTGTAATGGCCGTTCTCTCTGCTCTGGTACCAGGAAAAAGCAGCCAGCCCCTTGGGGAAGAGGAGCACACGGGCATCTAACCCCTCCCCCCGCAGGACCTGCTGACGGCAGCGTGGGAGCTGGCGCCATCCTCCTGGCTGTCCTAGCCGCCTCTTGGCTGGGAGTCGGGCCCTGGGGACTCGCCTGACAGCAGCAGAAATCTCATGGGGTGGGATGCCCCAGATGCCCTCCGTGCGCGCGCGCGCGCACACACACACACCCCGTGCTGCCTGAAGGGGCTGCCCCAAAGGATGCCAGCCACTTGGACTCTGCTCCAGAGGATCTCGCTGCATCAGGACCAACTGCCAGGGCAGCCAGAGCTGGATTCCAGTCCACGGGAGAATGACCCGATCCCCCCTCGGTGGCTGGAGCCCCGGGCAGCATCAGCACCTGTGCTGGCAGACCTCCAGGGAGCAGCGCCCAGATCGAACCAGACCCGCTGGCTGCTGGGGGCACCTGGCGAGCTGGGTGGAGGCTGCAGGAGAGCTGCTGGTGGCGGGTTGTGGGCTGGTTCCTCCATAGGGTGCCCTCTGTATGTGCCTGGACTAGGCATTCCTCTCCTTGGTGTGTTCTCTGCCAGGCTGCCCTGGGCTATCCCTCCTCTGCCAGTGTCAGCCTGGGCCATTCCCCTGAGCCCGCCAAGCCAGCTCTGCTCCAGGAGCCATGCTGGGCTGCCTCGGCCTGCCCCAGGGCAGAGCTGTATGGCCAGTTACCTGTCTAGGCTTCCCTTCCCGTGGAGCGCTGGGTGTCACCCCATCCCTGCCCTCCTAAGCCAGGGCCCATCACCGCCAGCCCCTTCCAGCGGCTGCCAGCAAAGAGCCCACATGGGAGGCTAGGCTCTGCCCCTGCACCCCTGGCTGTCTCTTCCCGAGGCACTGGGGGTGCTCCCCTTGCCCCAGGCTCTGCAACCTGAGCCAGTCTTCACAAGTGGGCCCGGTGGGGCTGCCCGTCAGTCAGCGGGGTTGATTGCTGGGGGGCACAGTCCTTGCAGCCCTGTCCTCCCCTCCCCCCGAGGATGAGAGATCACAGGGGCCCCAGGCACACAGTGCCGTGATTGCAGACTGCATTGAGCAGCCCAATGGACGGAGATTCCCCACCCCTCGGACACGTTGCCTGGCCACAGGCCCCAGAGAGCTCACGGCTGCCACAGGGCTAAAGGTCTGACATGGACACAGGGCCGCTGGGCTGGACACCTGCCTTGTTTGCTCCTCTCTACTACCCGTGTTTTCAAGGCGCTGGGTGGGAGAGCAGCACCTGGCCCCAGAACAGCAGAGCCTGGCGAAGAGCCGGGGGCGTGCAGGTAAAGGAGTTGTAATCTGCCCTGTTGTATCCACGCCTGTCTGTCCCTTTCCCATGGCCTCTGCGCGGCGTGGGGAGGGGGCATTGACAGGCCGTCGAGCGGGGAGGGGCCCAGGCTGGATCTTACTGCACGAGGTAGGTGCTGCCGTTAAGTGGGGTGGAAATGGGGGGGGTGGGGCTGCAGGCACCTCTTGGGTGAGGAGTCCCCCCCCCCCGGAGCCCCTCAGGCACCAGTACAGGGAAGGACCGGGCTCTGCCAGCCAGGGGGTTGGGGGCCAGGCCTGCACACCTGTCACGTCTCGGCTAGAGGAAAAGGTTTTCTGTGAAGGCTCCTGCAGCCTGAGACGGGGCTTCCTGCAAGGGGCACCCGCCCCCGATGCTGCCCTGGGTTAACCCCCACGAGCAGACCCATCCCCCTCTGGCACAGGACAGGAAACACCCATTCCAGGGCCCAGGCTAGTCACTTTCCCTCCCCAGTGCTGGCCCCCTTCCTCTGAAACCTGCACAACTGCCTGCAGTGAAAGGAGATGCCCAGGCTGGGCTGAGCGGGGAGATGCTGCTGGAGAGGGCGGGGGCCGCTTGCTGGCACAGTTCATGCAGTGATGAGGGAGACAGGTGCAGTGTGTGGAAAAGGGAGGGGCTGTGAGCCAGGTGCCCCTCCCCCTGCTAAGCTGCCTTCTTCCTAAAATACCTGGCGTGATCCAACCAAGCTGTTATCCAGCCCCCCTGTCTGCCCCACATAGCACAGCCAGGAGGCCAGCGCTCACACCTCTCTGTTGCCCTGGCACGGCGCCTGCGTAGCAAGGGCGGGCACAGAACATGGCACTGCTGCTGCTTGGAACGGAGCTTTATTCACTCGCCTGGGGGCCGGATACCCGCAGGCCTGGAGCTCGCTCTGCAGAGAGCTGGGGGCTGCGGCTAGGGCAGATCCCCGGCTGTACCTACTGCCGCCTTGTGCACTTGTGCCTGCTCTGGCCTGTGCCCATCCCAGCAGTATTGGGGCACAGGTGGGGCCGCTACAGGCAGTGACTGGCACAGGGAGCTGTAGTCCTAGGCAGGAGCCGTGGCAGGGGTGCAGGGAGCGTCTCCTCTAACCTCACCCCCCAGCCCTGGGCACAGGGTTCCTTACCCTCCCAGCAGGGAGCTAGAGCCTCTACCTGCCGGGGGCCCTGCTAAGCCCAGCGTTCAAAGGGCACTGGTGCCAGGCCAAGGGGGGGGGGGAGGGCAGCCCTGTACCAAGCCCACGCTGCTGTCTGCGCTACGCCAGCGTTGCAGGCACCCTCCTAGGCCAGCTGCCCCAGAGCATGGGTCCATCCAGCTCCATTAGCACCCAGGTACCAGTTCTGGCGGGGGAGAAGTGCTGCCTGTGCCAGCGTGTGTAAGAGGGGGCACAGGGGCCATGCTGTAGCAGCTTCCTGGGCACATTAAATATGTCCATTGCAACCCACGTGGTCTCAGCCTGACCTGCAGTGCTGAGGTGGCAGCCTGCGGCTCCGAGAGCTGCCCAACGGGCTGGGCATGAACCCAGAAGCTGGCTCCATTCACTGTTAGCCCCATTTTACATATAGGGAAACTGAGGCAGGGGACAGGACTCACCCAAGGCCAGCAGCAGAGAAGCAGGACTATCTCCCTCTCAACCTGGGCACCTTCCCCCTAGGGCTTGGGGAAGGGCCAGGACCATGCTGGGGTCAGGGCAGACTTGGTGTGCTGCCGGTGGGTGCTGGCTGGCTCCAGACTAATTGACTCGGGAGGGTCCCATGTTCCTTGGGCTCTAACCTCCATATCCCCCACAGGCGTCTCAACCAGCTCGGCTCCTCCCGGGCCAGCAGCGCTCCCAGGGGCAGGGGGAACGGAGGGGACCGTGCCTGTCCTGTGCCAGGCTGTGAGAGGGCACTGCTCCCTCACCCCCCAGCCGTTAGCCATGTCCTACCCTGCTGCTGCTACCCACTGCCTGGAGCCTGAGCCCAGGGGACACGCGTGGCTGGGGGCTGGCACAGCCAGGCTGCTGGGGGCCAAGGGTAAGGCAGGGGCTGCCCTCACAGCGACAGGAGGCTGGGTGCAGCTGCCCCCTTGGCCATGGGCAGAGGTGAGGGGCTAGGGGGGAGCAGCAGCAGGAGCCCCTCAGGCACCAGGCCCTGCCAGCCAGAGGGTTGGGGGCCAGGCCTGCACACCCTTAGGGGGCAGCCATGGCCAGAAGCTGGCCCAGGGCACAGACTGACCGTGAGATGGCCGAGGCCAGGCCAGGCAAGCCACCTGTCTCCCTCAGCCAGGAACCTGCACTAGCCTGGGCCCTGCTCTGCCCTGCTGCCCCATGTTCTACCCCAGGGCCGGCTCAGCCTCTCCCTGCAGTAAGCCCCCCCCCCCAGCTCACCCTGGGGTGCAGCAGGTGCCTACCCCTAGGGGGGCAGCAGCGTTCCCTCCAGCACAGCCTCAGGAAGGCCGCAGGGCTCGCCTGCCCAGAAGGGGGAGGGGGCCAGGGCCCAGAAGGGGGAGGGGGTCTGCTCAGACCCCTGGGGCAGTTCCTCTCC